ACATTAGATCTGTTCCGCAGTCAATCGCAATGGCTTCAGCCATTGCAAGTTTCTAGTTTCTTTATACCCATTATTATTTCTGTATATAATGTATATATTTTTGTTTGTCTTTGTCATTGTATGTATAGTTTGTATATTTGCGTTTTTTTTAATAAAAAATAAATAAAATTAAAGCCGCAAGCGGCGTCAAACGGCCCTTGCCGCACCGCGCGCACCACCAAGCCGCCCCGCATCAAGCAGCTCCGTACCAAGCCGCCCTGCACCAAGCCGTCCCGCATTAAGCCGCCCCTTATCAAGCCGCCATGCATCAAGTCGCCCCGCACCAAGCGGATCTGCACCACGCCACTCCGCACCAAGCCGCAACGCGCCGCTCCACAACGCCCCGCACCACGGCGCAAAGGAGCTGGGGCCGCCGTGTGGTGATTGCCATAGAAGAACGTCAGTCAAATTGTAATGACTATGATGATTAGAGCTGTTTGGCACCCCATGTAAAACTTTGCCTCAATCTGTAGGGGGCGCTATTGGGCCAATTTCACTTTCACCTGACCTAAACCCTGGAGTTGAACATTGGATTCAAGTTTTGTGCAAATCAGACTTTGTGCAAACGAGAGCAAAATTAATGTTGTCAAAAACTGCCAAAAAACACTCACATTTTGCCGCTCCGCTGCTCAAACAACGTTTCACTGATCAAAAATCCCTTTGGTCATTTTCAAGGTACATGTGTTGAGATGATGTGGAGCTATTTTGAGACGAATCTGTAAAACTGCCGAGGAGGAGTCGCTTTCCAACCGACATGTGTGAAAATGATTGCTGCTCATTTTTCCATTTTGCAATGAAATTTATGGGCCTCCTGTTTGTCAGAGGGCGGAGCCATGATAACATTTTGGTCGTATCTTGACTTGATGAACATGTGTACCGAATTTCATGGCTCTACGACAAACTTGACCTCTGAAACTTTCATTGGCTGTTGTAGGTGGCGTTGTTCTGGCATTTTTTGAGTCCCACAAAAATAAACACCAAAATATCAAATTTTTCACCAGGTCTGATGTTTGGTCAAAATTTTACAACTTTTCATGCATGTTCAGGGGGTGAAATTAAGGCTCAAAGTGCATAATTTGACATCTCTCGAGCAAAAACAATAAAAAATCATTTGAATAGGGCGCCATCTTGGATCGCCGGGGCTTGAGTAGAGCACTAATTTTGCATGGATAACGTATTTTTGGCCAGTTAGAACGGCGGAGATAGACTGTAAAAAATAATGGACGTAGTCACGCCTATGATATTACTACTACAATACTCAAATAAGTTGTAAAGTGCTTTGTGACTTTGGTCTGTGAAAGGCGCTATGTAAATAAACATGACTTACTACTGCTCTGGGGTAACACCAACATCCATTTCCTTCTGTTTGCTCCATGGCCTCTGGGGCAGAAATGAGATCCTCTGGTCCCCACACCACACTCAGGCCATTAACAATTACACAACAAATGATTCAGCTCGTTAAAATGTAAATTTAAAATACAATGACAAAACAGGCGGTTCTGAGTCGTCGTAATGACAAAACAGGCGGTTCTGAGACGCCGTAATGACAAAACAGGCGGTTCTGAGACGTCGTAATGACAAAACAGGCGGTTCTGAGTCGCCGTAATGACAAAACAGGCGGTTCTGAGTCGTCGTAATGACAAAACAGGCGGTTCTGAGTCGCCGTAATGACAAAACAGGCGGTTCTGAGTCGTCGTAATGACAAAACAGGCGGTTCTGAGTCGGCGTAATGACAAAACAGGCGGTTCTGAGTCGGCGTATTGACGAGACACAGATCCATTGAAAGCACTTTATTGCACCGTTTGTGACTTGCTCTTTATAAAATGTTCTTTTTCATGTGTACAAAACAATCACACACACTGAACCGTAAAAATACACAATGTACAGACACTTTACACACGGCCGCGCTCCTGCACACACACACATTCATACACACACACACACAGGGGCCATGGGTCAACACCAGTGCCACTCAGTCACAGAACATTTCAGACTTTGAGTGTTCAGACTCTTCCATGAAAACCACATTTCCCAAAATCATTCATAAATAGCTTTGACATTTCCATTGCTTCAGATTGATAGATTTTCCCTCTTTTTCCAAATGTTTTAACAATTCAAGTAAAAACAAGAGTTGTGGCAGAGCAGCATTAAAACAAAACATTATCTGTCACTTGAGTTTGAGCTCATGGAGGTCTCTGTGGGTTATTACATAATCTGGAGGGCCAGTCTCTCTGTGGGTTATTACATAATCTGGAGGGCCAGTCTCTGTGGGTTATTACATAATCTGGAGAGCTAGTCTCTCTGTGGGTTATTACATAATCTGGAGGGCCAGTCTCTCTGTGGGTTATTACATAATCTGGAGGGCCAGTCTCTCTGTGGGTTATTACATAATATGGAGAGCTAGTCTCTCTGTGGGTTATTACATAATCTGGAGGGCCAGTCTCTGTGGGTTATTACATAATCTGGAGGGCCAGTCTCTGTGGGTTATTAAATAATCTGGAGGGCCAGTCTCTGTGGGTTATTACATCATCTGGAGAGCCAGTCTCTCTGTGGGTTATTACATAATCTGGAGGGCCAGTCTCTGTGGGTTATTACATAATCTGGAGGGCCAGTCTCTGTGGGTTATTACATAATCTGGAGGGCCAGTCTCTGTGGGTACTTATTACATAATCTGGAGGGCCAGTCTCTCTGTGGGTTATTACATAATCTGGAGGGCCAGTCTCTCTGTGGGTTATTACATAATCTGGAGGGCCAGTCTCTCTGGGTTATTACATAATCTGGAGGGTGCTGCTGATTAAAGTGATAGTCTGGAGTTTGTCCGAAAAAAGAGAGGTACAAGATTTGAAAAAAAAAAAACCCGACCCAAAACTCCTCCCCCTTTGTTTCTGATTGGTCTTGAAGGCGTGCCTACTTTTCCGTGCATACGCCAGGTCAATGGTCCAAGACGTGCAGAGAGATTATTAATTTAAATATTTGAATATTTAACGTCTTATGACCAACTCGTTTTTATGTTTTTAAATGTTCTGCTGGCAATAGCAGATGTATTTTGAACACCAAACCCCAAAAGCTGTATATCATTTTAAAGCTTATTTTCTAAACTACATCAGACTTTGCATTCAAAAGATATAACACATAATGTGGGCACAAAATAAATCAATTCCGAAATAGTTTTTTACCTTGGGCTTGTGCTGTACAAATAAATCAGCTCGCCTTCCAGCTTGCAATACATCATTCTCTCTGGAACAGTCCAAAGGAAGATTATATCCACTTGTATTTCCCAAAGTAAAATCCATTCTCCAGAAATAATCCAAAAATGTGCATTTATCTTTAGCGAAAAAAACGAAAAAAAAGAGCACAGATGTTGTTCTTTCACTTTTAACGGACTTTTACCTTTGTTTTTCACCCGGACATCTGGTATCCACGTGTTCCTTAGCTCCTTATCTTTCAAATGAGACTACTCCCGAAAAGCTAGACCAATTTTTGGGTCTGCAAGAGCTCCCGTAAGTACAGCTTGCGCTGCTGTTTGCGCATGGATCACTGATCTTTGTTGTGGTCCCAACTTGTTTACGTTTACTTCCGGGATGTTTGATTGACATGTCCGTGTAGCCAATGAGGAAAGCTTTCGAGCAAGGGGTGGGACAATGGTGTCCTGTCTTATGTTGTGCCTGTAGAATAGTGCGTAATGGCAGCCAAAATACGCTCTCGAAGCTGCAATGAATTTACACTCATAAAAAAATAACTGACATAAAAAAAAAAAAAAAAAACATAGATTAGTAACTTATAAGTACCAATAATAAAAAATATTGTTTGCCTTGCCTTTTTTAGGGCCTTTAGAAATGGAAAATGTTAGGCGAGGCTAAAAAAATTGGGTTTTTTTCCCAAACTTCAAAGGATGCAGAGGGAAATAGGAATGACAAACATTATTTTTGTGTTTTTTTACATAAACTAGAAGGCTCTAGCTTTAAAATGATGCATCACACAAGCATGTGAGATGTAAGATGTGTTTTTAAATAAGAAAAGACATTTGGGTATGGCCAACTTTTGTGCACGAGCCAAAATGAGGCGGGTTTTAAGAGGTTAATCAGAATTGATTGACAGCCCTTGGCATCACTTGATTGGTTAACGTGGACGGCATCGTGGATTTTGAGCTATAGCTAAGAGAAGGGAAGGCGGGACTTACCCGTAATATTATAATTCATAAAATGACTTATTTTACATCAACATTCAAGGCCAGGAGGTTAATTTAATATGTTCCAGACTATCACTTTAAGCCTCCACTTCACCAAAACAGATCGTCTTCACAAAGATCACATTTTGTGGGGATTTTAGTTTCCCTTAAAGGCCTAAACTTTTTTCCTTTTGAAATCTATAGGCTTTCTATAAATCCACACTTTAGTGCCACAGACCAGGAGGAGCAGAGCGACCAGGAGGAAAACATGTTTGGATCGAGTCACGTGAAGAGACGGCCCTGAAGAGTAACACTTACTTGAGTACATCAGCAGTATCGTTACTTCAGTGCATAAATCAGGACTTTGCTACAGGTTTGAACTCTTCCTCATTTTTCCACAACACAAAGTCTTCTTCACTGGTTCACACAGAACTCACTCTCATATAGATTATTATGTTTATGTACAGTATTTATATTTATACACACAACAGAGGCCCCTGCAGACACACACACAGGCACACAGACTCACACACACACCTTTATGCAAGCGCACACATGCATACACATTAACACAGTCTTAAACTAACACACACACACACATACAAACACATTCATGCGCACACACACACACTCTCTCTCACTAACACACACACACACACACACACTCTCTCTCTCTCACTAACACTCTGCGTGCGCGCTCTCGGTTTCACGAGTTCTTTGTGCACTACTTTGTCCCAGTGTTGTGGCCTTTCCACACCGTTCACGTGCAGTGTCCGGTCTTCACGTGCGCGCCCTACATGTTGTAGGCCACGTAGATGGGGTCGAGCTGGTCTTGCAGGAAGCCGTCGCGCAGGTGCATCCGCTGCTTCTCGCCGCGGGAGTTGATGGGGATGACGCCGATGTCCGTGACCACGACCACGCCCACAATGAGGTAATGCTCCTCCAGCACCGCCTTGGTCACCATGGGAACCAGATCCAGCGCCTCCTGCTCCGAGCCCTCGAGCTCCACCACCACCACCAGGAGGTTAGTCCACGGGAACACGGCGCTGAGGACCACAAAGTCACGGAGATTGTCTTTAATGACATCACTGAGCTACAGCTAACATGCACTTTGAGGAATCTACTTATTGTCATGGCCCCGTCTTGGCTGCCCTCTTGTGGCCATGTATATGTTTGCTATTGTCTGCAGGTGTCGCGGGGGAGTGCCATTGGCTGTGCGTGCATACTAGGTCCGACGCACATAAAAGTCCCGCCTCCAGCCTGGGCTCCTGCTGGCTCACTTCACTCCCAGCCCTGAGAGCCCACACCTTTTGACATTAGTTTACTATTTTATAATTGACATTCGTTTGTTTGGTGCATCCTTGGTTATAGCCTAGAGCCGGGTTATAACATTATGCCAAGGAGGAGAGAGAGCAGAAAGAGAGACCAGAGAGCAAGACCAAAGAGAGACCAGAGAGAGAGAGCAGAAAGAGAGACCAGAGAGCAAGAGAGAAGAAAGAGACGACAGCGAGACCAGAGAGTGAGAGAGCAGAAAGAGAGACCAGAGATAGAGAGCAAGAGAGCAGAGAGTGAGAGAGCAGAAAGAGATCAGAGATAGAGAGCGAGAGAGCAGAGAGAGACCAGAGAGCGAGAAAGCAGAGAGAAAAGCACTGACCACTCTACGATGCTCTTGTGTGCTCGTGTGACTGAGGTCTCGATGTCGATGGGATGGTACCTCATCCCCCGCAGCTCCATGGCCTCCTCCAGGGCCCCCACCACAAACAGGGCGTCATGCCGCTCTGTGGACCAGAGTTCACTCAGTCATATCCAGTTGTCTCTGCATTCACTCAGTCATGTCCAGTTGTATCTGCTTCACTCAGTCATATCCAGTTGTCTCTGCATTCACTCAGTCATGTCCAGTTGTATCTGCTTCACTCAGTCATGTCCAGTTGTATCTGCTTCACTCAGTCATGTCCAGTTGAATTCACTCAGTCATGTCTAGTTGTATCTGCTTTCAGTCTGTGTATTTTAAACATGTGTTTTGCTACCAGACCACCAGCTGAATATGAAATTGTTAGTAGACACTTAACCTCTTAACATCCGCCTCATTTTGGCTCGTGCACAATGGTTGGGCATACCCAAATGTCTTTGCTTATTTAAAAACACATCTTACATCTCACATTCTTGTGTGATGCATCATTTTAAAGCTAGAGCCTTCTAGTTTATGTAAAAAAACACTAAAATAATGTTTGTCATTCCTATTTTCCTCTGCATCCTTTGAAGTTAGGGAAAAAAACCCAATTTTTTTAGCCTCGCCTAACATTTTCAATTTCTAAAGGCCCTAAAAAAGGCATACTTCATTTCAAGTTCACAATATTCAAACCCTCTGTTCATTGTGTTGTTGACAACAACTGTCTAAAGTTTCAGACTTCTAAGTTTTATAGTTTTTATGCAGTTTCTCCTTTTCATCAAGTAGTGCACATTTGGCACAATTTGGCACAAGTGTGCCAAATTGTGCCAAATATCTTTACTTACATTTAATCATCATAAAAACAATATTTTTTATTATTGGTACTTATAAGTTACTAATCTATGTGTTTTTCTTTTTTAAATGTCAAAGTTATTTTTTTATGAGTGTAAATTCATTGCAGCTTCGAGAGCGTCTTTTGGCTTCCATTACGCACAATTCCACAGGCACAACATAAGACAGGACACCATTGTCCCACCCCTTGTTCGAAAGCTTTCCTCATTGGCTAAAAGGACATGTCAATCGTAAATCCCGGAAGTAAAAGCAAACAAGTTGGGATCACAACAAAGATCAGAGAACCATGCGCAAACAGCAGCACTAGCTGTACTTACAGGAGCTATTGCAGACCCAAAAATTGGTCTAGCTTTTCGGGAGTAGTCTCATTTGAAAGATAAGGAGCTAAGGAACACGTAGATACCAGATGTTTGGGTGAAAAACAAAGCTAAAAGTCCGTTAAAAGTGAAAGAGTAACATCTGTGCTCTTTTTTTTTGTTTTTTTTTCGCTAAAGATAAATGCACATTTTTGGATTATTTCTGCAGAATGGATTTTACTTTGGGAAATACAAGTGGATATAATTTTCCTTTGGACTGTTCCAGAGAGAATGATGTATTGCAAGCTGGGAGGAGAGCTGATTTATTTGTACAGCACAAGCCCAAAGGTAAAAAACTATTTCGGAATTGATTTATTTTGTGCCCACATTATGTGTTATATCTTTTGAATGCAAAGTCTGATGTAGTTTACACTTGTATATAAATGTAGATAAGAAAATAAGCTTTAAAATGATATACAGCTTTTGGGGTTTGGTGTTCAAAATACATCTGCTATTGCCAGCAGAACATTTAAAAACATAAAAACGGCCGCCGGCGCGCCAGGTGAACTATTTATGGGAATGATCCATTTTGAGAACACATCATGTTCTACTGTAGATGAACTGTTTAACTCTGTCACCTCTAGTGTGTTAAATGTCCTAGACGCCATTGCCCCTGTGAATGTAAAAATGGTCACAAATAAACAAAAGGCCCCATGGACAAAAGCGGGCCCGGTCAGGGCACAGAAGCGAGAGTGCCGGAGGGCAGAGCGAAAGTGGAGAAAGTCCAAACTCCAGGGTGATTATGAATTCTTTAAAGAGAAGTTGTGTGAGTTTAACTGTGTACTACGTAGAACAAGATAATTAAACTTTTCTAAAACTATTGAAGGCTGCAGCAACAATCTGGGTGTTCTATTTTCAACAATCAATAGATTTACAAACCCCCCTGTTAAGTTGCCATTAGAACACTACTCCAAATCCAAGTGTAATGAGTTTGCACAGTTCTTTAGAGACAAGGTACAGGGTATCAGAAACGCCATCACTTCCACAACACGAGTAAAGCCTAGTGTATACTTGCGCGGCGCTGCTTACATTAGCGGTTGCGGTGGACCTACGCAAGCACAATTTAATTTATACTCCTTGCGGAGTTTTGAGGAGAATGTTGTAGTCGCACAACCAACCACATGATGGCGATCTCACAGGAGCTGCTTGAGATACCAAAGCGGTCTCATTTACGCTGCTACTTTCTCCTCTTCAGAACAAAAACAAAGCTGTTTGAGATCATTACATGTGTTTCTACTGTAGGTTTATGTGATAGTTCTATGGACTCATTATTTCTTAACTCATTTAACTGTGATTTTGTGAATAAAGACACAGTTCTTGTTGGAAACATAGTTATTATTAAATTGTATTAATCACAAACATCATACAAAAAGTGGTAAATATCTGAGGCAAACATGAAAAATTGTGCAGGAGGAATGGAACAGACGCGATAAGCTACGAGTGCAGATTCAAACAAAGACAGGAACAGTGAAAAAGAAACGACTGCACAGTTTATAAATATATGTTAGATATGCAACAGAACTCTAGTCCACAGTCTCCGCGTATATCAGGCTCTGCCATGAGCCCAAACTACTTTTCCTTTGGTTTCTTCGAAGCGTGAAGCAGTCTGCTCCATAGTGCCTCGTCCATGCTCCTGCAGCCGCTCCGTGCTTCCTTCCAATACACACACAGGGACCAATCACAGCGGAGCTGCATTGCGGCGACCCTTACGTAGTTAGAAAATTTCGATGCTGCGCGGCATGCGACGTAAGGGCCTTGCGGTGACCAACGCGTTGCGCAAGTGACGTCACGTCACCTCCGTAAGCTCTGCGCAGCGCGAGTATACACTAGGCTTAACAATGCAACAGCCAGTGAGGCTTTATGAGCTAGCTCAATTTGCACCTGTTGATAATGAAATTGTCCAAAAGATAATCACAGGTCTGAGTTCTGCCTGGATGTACTACCTCCTAGATTTCTGAAGTCGGTTCTAAGTAGTCTATTACCCTCACTGACAAAAATGGCAAACATGTCTCTTTTATCAGGAACATTTACAATGGCCCTGAAAACGGCAGTTATTAGGCCCCTCTTAAAAAATAGGAGTTTAGATACTTGAAAATTACCGGCCTATCTCAAATCTGCCTTTCATGGGAAAAATTCTTGAAAAAGTTGCCTACCAACGAATTTTTAATAACTAATGACTCATTTGATATGTTCCAGTCCGGCTTTAGACCCCACCACAGCACTGAGACTGCTCTAGTCAAGGTAACGAATGACATTTGGCTTAACACTGATGCAGGAAAAGTCTCTGTTTTAGTCATGTTAGATCTGAGTGCCGCCTTCGACACCGTCGACCATGAGATCCTCTTACAGAGACTAGAGGAATGGGTTGGCAACGCTGGCACCACCCTAGGCTGGTTTAGGTCCTATCTAGAAGAAAGGAAGTACTGTGAGGAGATTGGAGACTGTCTCAGATCATATGGCCCTGACCTGAGTGCCACAGGGGTCGATCCTGGGACCTCTCCTGTTCAATGTCTACATGCTGCCATTAGCTCAGTTATTTCAAAGTATGAAAGTGTCCTACCACAATTACGCTGATGACACTCAGATCTATGTCTCACTGACTGCAGGAGAACATGGACCAGTGGACTCACTTCTTCACTGTATCCAACAGATCAGTGAGTGGATGCAATACAATTTTCTCCAGCTAAACATAGACAAAACCGAAATAATTGTCTTTGGTCCCGAGAAACAAAGAGATTTATCACCTACAGTCTCTCTCCCTAAAATCTTTAAATAAGGTCATAAATCTGGGAGTAATAATGGACTCTGACTTAAACTTCAATAGCCACATTGGATCGGTAACATCAGCAGCTTTTTACCATCTGAAAAATATTGCCAAAATAAAAAATATTTTGTCCGAAGCAGATCTGGAGATTCTCATCCATTCTTTTGTCTCCAGTAGGCTAGATTACTGCAATGGCCTGCTCCCTGGTCTGTCCAAACAGGCTGTAAACCAGCTGCAGTATATTCAAAATGCTACAGCAAGTACGACCACATTAGTCCAGTCCTCAGGTCTCTGCACTGGCTTCCTGTGGCCCAGAGAGGCCAGAAGGCTGAAACACGTAGGTGTAATTTTAACCTCTTTTGCCATGTGAAATAAAGGCTTTTAAAGATTTTTGTAACTTTTGAGTGCTTCAGTCTTCTGTCTGAACTTTCAACATTGGTCCCTCCACTGAAGAGCACCAAAAGTTTACTTTTTTCCTTATTTAATTTTTTCATCCAAGGAGCACTCCAGCCCCGTCTACTGTTTTCAAAGACTATAAAACAGCTCTGCTTGTGTACAAGTCTCTCCATGGCCTCGCACCAAAGCACATCCATGACATGCTAGTGCCATATGAACCGGCCCGGACTCCGAGGAGCACAGGGACGGGACTCCTGTTAGTGCCCAGAGTCAGAACTAAACATGGGGAGGCTGCTTTTCAGATTCATGCTGCTTAAGTCTGGAACAGTCTTCCTGAGTGAGACTGGCTGCCTCTCTGTCAATTTTCAAAACCAGGTTAAAGACTTTTCTTTTTGCCTGTGCATACAACTGAAGAATTTTATCTTTTTAATGCACCCTGTTATTTATTATTGTAACTATTTGTGTGTTTTTAATGGTTTTTAATTACATGTGTGATTTTAATGTTTTTAATTACATGTGTGTTTTTAATTGTATTTTTAATGGTGATGATTTGTGCCTTGTGTGGTGTGGACTGTGATGCGCTTTGTGTTGCCCTGAGTAGGAAAAGCGCTCTATAAATAAAGATTGATTGATGTCCAGTTGTATCTGCTTTCACTCATTCATGTCAACCACCTCCGTTGGCGTCCGTGAGCTCAGTCCTCCGCAGGAAGCCCAGATACCCGGTTCGGGCCCAGAGCGTCTGCGTGTCTCCGAAGCTCAGCCTCGAGTTGAAGTGGTCGGACTGCAGCAGCTCTTCGCCGTAGCCGCTGTAGTAACCGGAGCCATTGTGAGCGCTGTGCACCCAGATCTGGCAACCAAAGGAAACGCTCATCACTGTCTCATCACACAGCTGTGTCAAAACTAGTCTTTCACTGAAAACATTTTTTTTTAGAAAAGTAGACCTAATAAAAAATAATATAATTGTAGTGATAATTAATAACGGGAATGAGAAAAATCATAATTATTCATAATTATTAAAATGAATATGCTTTGAGCTATTTTTTATATTTTTAGTGCCGGTTAGGCCGTCTAATTTGTAAATGTCTTTATATAAGAAAGAAGGATGGGTAGAGTTTTTTCTTCATCCTACTCGTTCTTTTTTGATGGAATGTATTATTGTTGTACTTGTTGGATTGTTGTGGTGTTTTGTTGCATTACCATGAAAAACTGGTGCAAATACAATAAAAATAGTTTTTGCTGAGTCTGGGTAAATGTGTGGAATAATATACCTCTCCCAGATGAGAGTCACCCAGAGGTCCTTTGGTCTCTGGGTTTGCGATGATGATTCTGACCCCGGGAAGGATCTGGGACAGAGGAAAGACGGCTCAATAATCACAGCTCAAATATGTATGGAAGCCAGTTTCCACCATGTAAAAAAAAAAACCCTACAGAAAGTCATAATTTTGACTTTTAAACTCGTAATTTTATTATCATTCTGTAGGTTGTTTTTTTACATGGTGGAAACAGGCTTCCATAAATATGACACAAGAGGCTGAAAGTTTAACTTTGATCTTGTCACTTAAAGCTGGGGTATGTAACTTTCAATGTCGTTATTGGCTCATTACAGTTTGCGCCTTTCACTAGTTTTCATGTATTTTGAGGTGACAAACTACATGTATTCTTAATGATACTAAAGTTACGTACCCCAGCTTTAAACATGATGTTGAGAATATTGAGGATTATATTGTGCATTTAACAAGCTGCGATGTGACTGAAGGCAGGAGACATTCAAGAAACTCTTGGGCGTGTGTCTCTACATTAAAGTCATTTATTGAACAGAAATGTGGACTGTGCTAAACAAAAAAAGTGCATTTGTTGCTCACTTTCCCAGACTCCATGAGCGGCAGACTGTGAGGGGAACCCTTCTCCACCAAGCGGACTCTGCGCTCACAAAGACCATTAGAACATTCTTAAACACATTCTCACATCAATGACAAATATACTAAACCTGTCGTGACGCAGCGCTCTCATGTCCACATACACAGTGGTAGGATCAGGTCCTGAAGTGCCCTGCAGCCAATCAGAGCACAACCATCATCATGTGACCAGCTACACACTATACACTGACACCACAAATAGTGAGGTGTGAACCTGCAGACAGATGTGTGTGTTTGTACCTGCAGGCAGGTGTGTGTGTACTTGCAGGCAGGTGTGTGTGTGCACCTGCATGCAAGTGTGTGTGATTGTGTACCTGCAGGCAGATAGCCAGGTTGACTCTGCAGCCGAATGCGGTGCTGACGGAGCGTGGGTGAAGGCCCAGGTCTTTGAACAGTTTGGAAAAAGAGTGAGTGAGCGCCATGCGGGGGCGCTCTTCAGCCACCACCACACAGGCACGCACACGGGACAGGTCCAGACCACGGGCCTGGAAGAAGGAGAAGAAGAAGAGGAAGGAGAAGAGGAAGGAGAAGAAGAGGAAGAAGGAGAAGAGGAAGGAGAAGAATAAAAAGATGAGGAAGAAAGGAGAAGAAGGAAAAGAAGAGGAAGGAGAAGAAGGAGAAGAAGAAGAAGAGGAAGAAGAAGAAAAATATGAGGAAGAAAGAAGAGGAGAAGGAAAAGTAGAAGAAGGTGAAGAAGAGGCAGAAGGAGAAGAGAAAGAAGGAGAAGGAAGAGAAAAGAGAAGAAGAAGAAGAGGAAGAAGGAGAATAAGGAGAAGGTGAAGAAGAGGAAGAAGGAGAAGGAAAAGAAAGGAGAAGAAGAAGAGGAAGAAGGAGGAGAAGAAGAGGAAGAAGCATCTGTTAGAACAGGACACAACAGAGTTAAAGCTGTTCTTTCAGTCTGAGACTGAAGATATAAACACAAACTGAAAAGAAGGTCTTTACCTTGAGTGAGTCTGCAGGACTTTACCTTGAGTGAGTCTGCAGGACTTTACCTTGAGTGAGTCTGCAGGACTTTACATTGAGTGAGTCTGCAGGACTTTACATTGAGTGAGTCTGCAGGACTTTACATTGAGTGAGTCTGCAGGACTTTACATTGAGTGAGTCTGCAGGACTTTACATTGAGTGAGTCTGCAGGACTTTACCTTGAGTGAGTCTGCAGGGCTTTACCTTGAGTGAGTCTGCAGGACTTTACCTTGAGTGAGTCGGTCTGCAGTCCCAGGCCTTTGGTGCATAGCTCCATGACGCTGTAGGAGCAAAAGGTGTCTCTGACTCTGAGCTGACTGACCGCGAGTAGCCACAGAGCGGGGTTTGTCTCCAGTTCAACAGGAGGGATCAGGATGGACTGGTGGCCCGAGTACACACTGAAACACACACACACAGGTAAAGTAGTGCACCTATATAATACAGACCATGCTTCACATGTGTTTGGATCAGTCAATTTAAACCATAGACTGGAAATATTAACGGACGTAGTCACACCCATCTCTAATGTGCCACAACTTCCGCAGTCTATGGGCAGTTTCAAAATGGCCGCGGGGGCTGGAAAATGTGAAAAACGCATCTGTGCATGCATCAGCTGCACGAGCCCCATTCATTTAACAAGTGCCTTCTAAAGTCCACAGCGATTAAACTAGACTGGTCCAAAACACCCCCCTCAGCATTGACACATGTGGAACAGAACTTTGAGCCAAGAGCCAACTTTGTACCATCCTGTAAAGACGTTTGAGAGGTAAGAAGATGTTAAATGTTAGCATTGGCTAATTCTTATTCCGGGTCCACCCCCATCGGAACGGGGTGGTATTGCAGCATGTCAGCGCCATGGATCTATAATAACTGGATAGAGTAATACTAGCTTATAGCTGTCCCACCCATGGGCACAGGGGGCGCTGTGGTACTGCAAGCTAAATTCATGTGGGCTACCCAGAAAAAAGTCCCATAGAACTCAATGTAAAACACAACAGCTCGACCTCAGCTGACAGAGAACCTACAGCTTTCATAAAAGTCGGATTTTAGGGTCCCTTGTCATCCTGAACTTTTTCTCTTCTTAAATCTCTTCTCTTCTGACCAATCAGAGCTGATCATCAGATCAGCAGCAGAGCGGAGCCAGAGCAGGAAGGCAGGGAGCAGAGTTTGTGGCAGTAAAGTGTGGATTTAAAGAAAACCGAAGGATTTAAGAAGAAAAAAAGTTCAGGACGACAAGGGACACTAATATCCCCACAAAATCCGATCTTTATGAAAGCTGTAGGTTCTCTGTCAGCTGAAGTCGAGCTGTTTTCATTTACATTGAGTTCTATGGGACTTTTTTCTGGGTAGCCCACGTGTATTTAGTCTGCAGTACCACGGGCGCCCCCTGTGCCCATAGGTGGGACAGCTGTAATCTAGTAATACCCTATCCAGTTATTATTATAGATCCATGGTCAGCGCACATCATTATGGCCACTCTTGAGCCGGGACCCACCCCACTGGTTTAAACTGAAGCACACATCACAGATGAAGCACACGTCACAGATGATCACACTGACCCTAATGTAAATCACTCTGACCCTAATGTAAATCACTCTGACCCTAATGTAAATCACTCTGACCCTAATGTAAATCACTGACCCAAATGTAAATCACACTGACCCTAATGTAAATCACTCTGACCCTAATGTAAATCACTCTGACCCTAATGTAAATCACTCTGACCCAAATGTAAATCACACTGACCCTAATGTAAAACACACTAACCCTAATGTAAATCACACTGACCCTAATGTAAATCCCACTGACCCTAATGTAAATCCCACTGACCCTAATGTAAATCCCACTGACCCTAATGTAAATCCCACTGACCCTAATGTAAATCACACTGACCCTAATGTAAATCACACTGACCCTAATGTAAATCACACTAACCCTAATGTAAATCACACTAACCCTAATGTAAATCACACTGACCCTAATGTAAATCACACTGACCCTAATGTAAATCACACTGACCCTAATGTAAATCACACTGACCCGAATGTAAAACACACTAACCCTAATGTAAATCACACTGACCCTAATGTAAATCACACTGACCCGAATGTAAAACACACTAACCCTAATGTAAATCACACTGACCCTAATGTAAAACACACTAACCCTAATGTAAAACACACTAACCCTAATGTAAATAGCAATGCAAGACTCAGTGGAAACGCTGTGGTGAAAAGAGGTCGCTGTCTTACTCACTTTAGTTCATATGATTCTGAGCAGCTAAATAATCAGAATATATAGCTTCCACCACTATCAATAATTTTATTTATAGAATCCATAAATGTGTGTATTGTTCTGATATTCCGTTTATTTCCTGAGATATGAATTAATAAAGTTGACGAATATGAGGCAGAGTGGGCAAATTAGTCGGGATATTCCCGGAATTCCGTGTGGGTTAATGACGTCGCCGCGAGGTGATATTGACCGGGTAAACAGATCACGTATTACAGTGCATTAAGATGAAAACGGCATCTCTCCAGCTGTTGCGGTTACGGAGATATGATCCGACGAACTTAGAAGCAAAATACACGGTAAGTAGCCGGGATTTTGGAAAACCAACACCACACACATACATCTAAGATTATAAGCTTTAGAATTATGGTTTATTTAAATCATGTCACGGTTGTTTTGACCCGCGGATCAGTGAATAAAGTTGAAAAACCGCCGCGCTCATAACACACTCAGGGGGGGAGACACGCGAGTCACGTGGCCCAAACGGACCAATGCCATTGGTTGGACTAATCCATGTTACATGTTAACAAGAGGGTTTGGGTTAGTTAACATGTTTAAAGCTGGGGTCTGTAACTTTAGTCTCATAAATAACATGTTTAAAGCTCGGGTCTGTAACTTTAGTCCCATAAATAACATGTTTAAAGCTCGGGTCTGTAACTTTAGTCTCATAAATAACACATGTGTGTGTGTGCATATGCCAAAAACATTTCTAAGCATCATATTTAGATTGCTCCATCAATTACCTTCATTTTGATATATTACATATGTAGTTTGAAAAAAATGTTTTCCGGATTTCTTGTTGGCAGCCATCTTGGATAAGCTGGCAGCCATATTGGAATCGGGGTCGGCCAAATTGTAAAATAAATATCGAATTCATCCCTGAATTGTTTCCTTCTTTATTGTGAATTTTAATGTTGATAGTTAGTAAAATAGGGAAGTTACAGCATTAGTTAGAAGATGAATAAAGGCTTGAAATGGCTGAATTGAAGGTTCCATAGTATCCCTTTGTTTTAAGTCAAATTAATTTCACTATAAGCAGCTATAAGCGCTTATCAATATTGTAATAAAATAACAACCACTTTTCATAATTCAAAAACTGTTTTATTGCTCTTGCTGAGCTGGAAAATACTGTGCTAAATTAAATCTGATTTGGTAATTTAAACAATATAATCTTGCATTGCTAATGTAAAACACACTGACCCTAAGGTAAAACACACTAACCCTAATGTAAAAGAAACTAACCATAATGTAAAACACACTGACCCTAATGTAAACTTCTGTGTGAGATCAATAAAGTCTATCTTATCTGACCGTAACTGGGTGTAGTTCCGTCTGTTACCTGCAGAGGCACCAGAGCACAAAGCCCAGGCCACAGTATGGGTCGAGGCAGATGGCCACTTCTCTGGACGGATACAGCTCACACTGGAGCTTCACCGAGCGGCAGAATGCCCCCACTGCATTATGAGACATCTGGGGGAGGAGGGGCAGCTGGGTTTAGTCTTTTACACTATAGTCATGTGTACTATTGGAGCTAAGGACTTTCATGGCGGTTATCTTCAATGTATTATATTTCAGTATCCTGTTTAATGACACATGCATTACCAATAGAATCTATTAAAGAAAACAATTAACTTTGACTTGTAATAACTGTTCTGAGAGAGACAGGTACCTGGACCCCAGCGAGCATCCCAGTAGTGGACACGCTAAAGTCCAGGTAGGCCAGGCCGTCGGGGTTGGTGGGCTTGTACAGCACTGGAGGCTTCTTCTTCGGGAGGTCGTCTGTTCAAACACACACATTACAACATGTTCAAGGCTTCAGGAGAGAAGCGCAGAGTGAGATCTGACCTGTGTCCAGCACCGGAGGCCAGTTCCGGATGTCCACGGTGGCCATGGCCTCTTTGGAGCGCAGCAGTTTACAGATGACCGCTGTGGTCATCACACAGGCAGAGTGGCTCACCTGCAAATCAGGAGAGTACTTTTAATACAGGACAGTGAATAATTTTGATGAAGACAGCAAACAATAAGGAGCACTTTTTTGCCCAGTCTGAAAACAAAAGGTTTCTGGCAGCGGTGGGATTCGAACCCACGCCCCCGAAGAGACTGGAGCCTTAATCCAGCGCCTTAGACCGCTCGGCCACGCTACCTTATGGTGAAAGATCAGCTTACTGCGGTTTCATGCCCTCGGGATCATGTTTATGACCCACTTAACACTTACGGTTCTCAACAGGTGGGACTGTGACCAACAGCCACAATACAGGCAACTTTAATGCATCATCATTGAGTCTGAGTCAGCTCTAATCCTCAAGAGTCTGTGTGAGTCAGCTCTAATCCTCATGGAGTCTGTGTGAGTCAGCTCTAATCCTCATGGAGTCTGTGTGAGTCAGCTTTAATCCTCATGCAGTGTGTGAGTCAGCTCTAATCCTCATGGAGTCTGTGTGAGTCAGCTTTAATCCTCATGGAGTCTGTGTGAGTCAGCTCTAGTCCTCATGCAGTGTGTGAGTCAGCTCTAATCCTCATGGAGTGTGTGAGTCAGCTTTAATCCTCATGGAGTGTGTGAGTCAGCTCTAATCCTCATGAGTCTGTGTGAGTCAGCTCTAATCCTCATGAGTCTGTGTGAGACTGCATCCCCCAGTGTCCTCTGTCTCTCGTTTTTGCGTCATCTCCTTTCGCTGGTGCATAGTCGTGTTGTATTTTGCCGCCTCTCGAAACATCACATTTGCATATATTGCATGAGGTTGTCTGACTCGAAGGTAGTGTAAAAGACGCCGCACAGCTGATTCTTTCTAGCCTGGCCTTAGCCATCTGTACACTCTGCTCAATCATAATTTCACTGCATGTAACGTCTGGGTCTGGTCCCTGTGTTAGCGAATACAATCGGTCGTATTTCGACCGGCTACTCAGAGAGCGCAGAAGGCGGGTGTTGTAGGTCGGTGCCGGTGACGTCAAGAGTTTGCGCCGAACAGGCAGGTTGTAGTTTGGCAATGGCGAAGATTGCAATAGTAAAGTAATCCGGTCTGGTTCTATCAAGAAATTGAGGCGCTACTCCCCACGTGCTCCGTTAGCGGCAAAGGAGATGGCTAGGCTAAATGCTAATAACACACTCGGGCGCATTACATACGTCACAGTAAACTCAGATCCAATTGTTTCAATCTGCAAAAGGAGTTAACCCCTCCCACCTGTTAACGGAGCTCAATGGAGCAAATCCAGACCTTAGTATGAAATGAAATTTGTACTAAGGTGTGGTACAACCAGGATAGATTCTTTCCTGCGCTCCATGCTTGTTCGTTGTTGCAGAGTGTCACGAGGAAGTGACGTGTACGCGTGAGATCTGATAAATTACTTTATTTTACGTATTACTTACTTTTTACGTATGTTATGCACAATTTATTTTAAGAAATTATGCTGCACCTCATATGTTTGTATAAAATAGCGAACTATCTAAATGACGTCACTAAGACACGCCCCCGCCGCCTGTCAACTCCCGCCCACATGTTTCGGACAAACACTGCCGAAATGAATCAAATACCACTTGTCACTTTAGACGAAAATGATATACCAGGGGCAAAATTCCACCATCAAACCATCAGGGATCATAGTGTAGACCAATTATAACGTTGGCTTGAATGTCGTGGTCTTCCAGTAACTGGTAGACGGTTTGAATTGATAAAAAGATAATGGTGAGGATTATGCTAACATTATCTAGTCATTTAAATTGCAATGCTAGCGCCTTCTTTGTTTGTTTTGCTGTGATTAACTTCCATTTATCAAGTTGTTTTTGCACTATCCACTTTGTAATTAGTTTGATCATTAGTTAGCTACAGTCAGCTGATATTATAATAAATCCATGATCACAACGGGTTACGCCACTGTCTCTGAGAGAAACTATCAGAGCTAGCCACACTCAGTAAACGCAAATGACAATCAATCAACACATTTAAATGTTAATGGGAGAATACATTATACACATTCATAACACAAGTGCACGGAGGTTTTCAGAATTAACTGTTCAGGTTTTCATGACAAAAATACTTTTTTAATGCGACTAAAGCGATCGCTTTTAGGTTAACTATCCTCACTGTTACTCGCCTGCCACGGGAAAACCTTTGGGAACTATTTTCTTTGCACTCATTAAATAAACCTTTCGGCATGAGTAGTGAATGACGTTTATTTTGTGTGTTCAATTGGTACAAAGCCGTATAATAAGCAGACACAAAGTTGAAAAAAATCCCTCTCATCTTTCTTCAGGTGTGAGAATTGTATACTTTCTGGATTAGGACAAACAATACTAATATGGATTGATGGGGCTAACTACATTCAGAAGAGCTCAGACGGACCTGATACAGCGGTCCAGATCCAGTCCCAGCTAAACGTAGCTAGGACTGGATCTGGATGCTCCACAGTTGGTCCAGCGAAGTGTTTTGAAAAAACATGTGCCCTTTTTAACCTTTTCATGAGAGAAATTCTGCCGACCACAAGCACCCACCTGGTCTGATCTGGTCCTGGTCTGGTCCTGGTCTGGTCCGATGTTGTGGTTTAAAGAACGGGTTGAATGTTACTTTCATATAGTCCTTTTCAGAGTATCTGAAATCGCTCCGACAAGCACCATAACTGCAGTGTTTTGTTGTCACCATGATTCAATGATTTAGCCCAAATAAATACACACGCGTATGAGGAGAACACAGTAGAACTCAACGAGTCGTACACAATGTTTGTCCGAAACATGCGCGCATGCGCAGTCATCTGAGCTATTTTTAGCACATTTCGGAAACCGGACAGTGCCCTATAAAAGAAAAAAAGAAAATGGATCGGCTGCACGACGCAGCTCTCTATGCCGATATCCGATCCAGTATTTTTTCTGATATCGGCGCAGATATCGATACCAGTATCGGACTGGTGCATCCCTATTTGTGTGTGTACATCTGTGTGTACATGTGGGTAGCCCTCGTGAATCTAATCTGCAGTACCACGGGCGCCCCCTGTGCCCGTGGGTGGGACAGCTATAAGCTAGTAATACCCTATCCAGTTATTATAGATCCATGGTACACATGTGCGTGTGTGTGTTACCTCGACGATCATCTTGACTGTGGGCAGAGTGGTGGAGATGTTTTGTGGATGAGGAGGTCTCACAGTGATGGGCACGCAGCCGGCGTACAGGCAGCCGTAGAAGGCAGCGATCAGGTCGATGCCTGAAACAGGACCAGTTACAGCGGCATCAGACACACGTGTATCTGATCTCACTTATACTCACGTGATTATAGATTATTTACTAGAATATAGTCTGTATAGATTTTAGATATTGACAGACTAGAATGCCATCTAATCCGTGTCCTGTGACCCATGCAGTGAGGTGAGGGAGTCAGCAGAGGGAGCCGTTTCTCACATTACAAGTGCAGGTTTGGGCACCACTGAAGGTTCGGCTGGTGCGAGTTCTTGTGAGATTGTAATCGTACTTATTCAACAATTATTTGCTCCAACAAACTATGATTCAGTTCAGTTGCCCCCTGAAGATCTCGAATCACACAACGCAGCTATTTTCACTGGTGATTTGACTTTATATGTGTTGAGTCTATAACCAGGGGTGCACATAACTTTTTCAGTGAGGTTCCTCAGATGAGTACCAGGATATGGTGTTTGGTACTCACTCCATTTGTCGCGTGGTTCTTAATCAAGATTTTATACTTGCTTCTTTTTAATGCTACAGTTTAGACCAGCTCAGATAATCCACTCAATCCAAGTCAAATAATGACTCACAGGTCTCCTTCTTAAAAAAAAAAAGAAAAAAAAGAAAAAAGAAAAAAATCAAACAATGTTCTGTTTAATTTGATCACAAAATTTAACTTTTGGGCACAGCCGACATCATAATGCATTATTAATTCCATTCCATCTTCTTCCACTTCGGCACGGTGGCTGAGTGGATAGCACTCTCGCTTCTCAGCAAGAAGGCCCTGGGTTCGAATCCCGGTCGGACCAGGGCCTTTCTGAGTGGAGTTTGCATGTTCTCCCCGTGTCTGCGTAGGTTTCCTCCGGGTACTCCGGTTTCCCCTACCACTAAAAATATGTCCAATAGTTCTGGCATGTGCTTCCTGTACTGGCGACCCCGCTCCCATCTCTGTGTGGAGCGAAAGACAATTGCCCAAAATTAACAATTGTAAACCGCTTTGAGACTCAGATCTGCAGTGAAAAGGCGGTATATAAATAAAGATTACTTACTACTACTACTACTACCCAGACTTCCCTATCCACACACACTTCCTCCAGCTCGTCCGGGGGGACCCCAAGGCGTTCCCAGGCCAGCTGGGACACATAGTCCTTCCAGCGTGTCCTGGGTCTTCCCCGGGGCCTCCTCCCGGTGGGACGTGCCCGGAACACCTCCCCAGGGAGGCGTCCAGGAGGCATTCGGAACAGATGCCCGAGCCACCTCAACTGGTTCCTCTCAACGTGGAGAAGCAGCGGGTCTACTCCGAGCTCCTCCCGTGTGACTGAGCTCCTCACCCTATCTCTAAGGGAGCAGCCACTCTGCGGCGGAAGCTAATTTCAACCGCTTGTATCCATGATCTCGTTCTTTCGGTCATTACCCAAAGCTCATGACCAGGTGAGGAGGGAGCTTTGCCTTTCGGCTCAGCTCCCTCTTTACCACAACGGTCCGATACAGCGACCGCATCACAGCGCACGCTGCACCGATCCGCCTGTCAATCTCACGCTCCATCCTTCCCTCACTCGTGAACAAGACCCCGAGATACTTGATACTAGGCTGCGCCTAGAAATTCTGTCCATAAAGACAGTGAACAGAACCGGTGACAAAGGGCAGCCCTGGCGGAGGCCAACATGCACCGGGAACAGGTCTGACTTACTGCCGGCAATGCGAACGCAGCTCTGGCTCTGGTCATACAGGGACCGGATCGCCCTCAGCAGAGGACCCCGGACCCCGTACTCCCGGAGAACCCCCCAAAGAGCACCCCGGGGAACATGGTCGAACGCCTTCTCCAAATCCACAAAGCACATGTGGACAGGTTGGGCGAACTCCCATGAACCCTCGAGTAGCCGATGGAGAGTATAGAGCTGGTCCAGTGTTCCGTGGCCGGGACAAAAATCACACTGCTCCTCCTGAATCCGAGATTCGACCATCGGCCGTAGCCTCCTCGCCAGTACCTTGGAGTAAACCTTACCGGGGAGGCTGAGGAGTGCGATCCCACGATAATTGGAACACACCCTCCGGTCCCCGTTCTTGTAGAGGGACCACCACCCCGGTCTGCCACTCCATTGGCACCGCCCCCGATCGCCACCCGATGTTGCAGAGACGTGTCGGCCACGACAGTCCTACAACAACCAGAGACTTTAGATAGTCAGGACGGATCTCATCCACTCCCGGCGCCTTGCCACCAAGGAGGCTGCCAACCACCTTGGTGACCTCTGCCAGGGAGATGGAAGTATCCGTCCCAACATCCTCAGCCTCTGCCTCCGGGATGGAGGACGTGACGGGGATTGAGAAGAACCTCAAAGTTTTCCTTCCACCGCTTGACAATATCCCCAGTCGAGGTCAGCAGCTGTCCACCCGCACCATACACAGTGTTGGCAAAGAACTGCTTCCCCCTCCTGAGGCGCCGGACGGTTTGCCAGAATCTCTTTGAGGCCGACCGACAGTCATGCTCCATGGACTCTCCGAACTCCTCCCAGTCCCGGGTTTTTGCCTCTGCAACAGCCCAGTACCAGCACGCTTGGCCTGCCGGTACTGGACAGCTGCCTCAGGAGTCCCCCGAACCATCATGGCTCGATAGGACTCCTTCAGCCTGACGGCATCCCTTACTGCCGGTGTCCACCACCGGGTTTGGGGGTTGCCGCAGGGACCAGCACCAGAGACCACGAGCCGCAGCATCGGCGATAAAGGAAGAGAACATGGTCCACTCGGACTCGATATCCCCCTCCTCCGCCGGGACCTGGGAGAAGCTCTCCCGGTGGAGTGAGTTGAAAGTTCATCTGACAGGGGGCTCAGCGAGACGTTCCCTGCAGACCCGCACTACACGCTTGGGTCTGCCAGGTCTGACCGGTTTCCTCCCGTGCCAGCGGACCTCACAACCAGGTGGAGATCGGTTGACAGCTCCGCCCGTCTCTTCACCCGAGTGTCCGAGACACGCGGCCGAAGGTCAGATGATACGACAACAAAGTCGATCATCGACCTCCGGCCTAGGGTGTCCTGCTGCCACGTGCACTGGTGGACACCCTTGTGCTCGAACATGGTGTTTGTGATGTGGCACAGAAGTTCAACAACTGGACACCGCTCGGGTTCAGTTCAGGGGGGCCGTTCTTCCCGATCACCCCTCTCTAAGTGTCACTGGCATTTCCCACATGGGCGTTGAAGTCCCCTGTCCAGTACGCCTCCCAAGGACTCCAAGAAGGCCGGGTACTCTGCACTGCTGTTAGGCCCGTAGGCCTTCACAACAGTGAGAGACTTGCCCCCCACCCGAAGGTGGAGGGACGCAACCCTCTCATTCACCGGGGAGAACTCCAACACGTGTCGGCTGAGATGGGGGGCAATGAGTATGGCCACCCCTGCTCGCCGCCTCTCCCCTTGAGAAACACCAGAAAAGTGGAGCGTCCAACCCCTCTCAAGGAGTTGGGTTCCAGAGCCCAAGCTGTGTGTGGAGGTGAGGCCGACTATCTCTAAACCTCCCCCACGAGCTCGGGCTCAATCCCCCCAGTGAGGTGACATTCCACGTCCCCATAGCCAGATGTTGTGTGAGCGGACTGGGTCGCCGAGGTCTAAGCCTTCGACCGCTGCCCAGTCCTCTGCCCCTCGCCACCACGGACCCCTCTGCAGGTGCTGGGCCCACAGGAAGGACTGCCCACGTTGTCCTTTCGGGCTGAGCCCGGCCGGGCTCCGTGGGCTAAGGCCCGGCCACCAGGCGCTCGATTACGAGCCCCAACCCTAGGCCTGGCTCCCGGGTGGGGCCCCGGCTGCGCCATGCCGGGCAACGTCACTGCTCTCATTTTAATGCTGTCCATGGTTGGCTTCGAACTCCTCTTCGTCTGACTCGTCACCCGAGACCTGTCTGCCATGGGAGACCCTACCAGGGGCATGAAACCCCAGACAGCATAGCTCCCAGGATCACCCGAGTACTCAAACTCCCCCACCACGTTAAGGTGGCAGTCCAGGGGGGTGTGCATTATTAATGCACGAGAAAATGTAGGTACCACAGCTTTAATTTGGAGACACAGGGAGGACATGGACACTCCCTTAAGGCTCCATAGTCTAGCTCTGTTTCTTGCAGTATCGCAATATGTATTTATTTTGCGTTACGCAAAGACACACAATTGCAACAAGCAGAGAATGGTCCTGGGTACATTATGACCATGTTCAGCTACATGCTCGCCACGTTGTTGTCAAGGGGCCACGGAGGATTTTGAATCCCGTTCGAGTACGTACAGCAAACAGCAGCAAGCGCCCCGCGATCACGAACACCCTCTCTGGCTGTCGTGGGTTTCTTAAAAATATAACAGGCGAGCTTGGAGTCCAGTGCTTAGGTGGGTTTATTTTCTATACTCCAGGAGGGCAAAAAAATGGTGAAGGCAGTGCAGAGCGTATTTACAGTGAAATTAGCAACAAACAAAAAAAACAAATAGGTCACCTCTGTAACCAGCAACAGACTGTGCCAAACACGGCTCCCCTGGCCCCTCCCATTGAGCAAATAAAAAATTAAACATGTACATTTAACTCATTGAGTGCCAGCCTTGTTTCCACAGCTTGGATCTAGAATGCCAGCCATTATGTCAATTTTTCTTGATATTTGCAAAGCCACAGCATATTCTGTGTTACTGTCATAAACACATGCTATGACGCGTTGGAAAGGTGAGGCTTTGAACTTTCAGATGGGGAAAACCTTCCGTTTCTACCAGCTTTTTCCCCTGAGATATCCTAAGCAAAAGATCGGAAACTTTCATGAAAATCACTGTGAATTTCCTAGAAAGGGAGATAGAGACCGTTTTATGAAATATGATTTTTTGAGGGTTTTGTTGTTCTGACACATACATTTCTGGGTCCACGGACATTTATAAGATAGATATATCTTATAGGCATGGGGTAGGCTACAAAAAACGCGTTTAACTAATTCACTGCCATTGACGTCTATAGACGTCAATCGCTTTTTCTTAGTTTTTTTCTGTCTATGGCTCATCAAGGCTCGTGTGCATCCTGTGTCAACATTTCAGACCTGTAAACACTTTGGAACCGATCCTGTAGGGGGCGGAGGTGACACTGTGGCCAGATCCAGGGAGGGAGAAGGGGGGCATGTGGGGCTGTGAGCTTACACAAAGGACTGCGGATCTGAGAAGCTCACGCAACTAACGCTGTTTGAGAGCCTGTTCAGTCATCAAACGGATAAATATGAAGCAGCTAGATGCAACGATGCTAGTTCTTCAGGTTTTAGTTAACCTCAGAGACTCCAGGATCCTCGGAGCCTTCTCCCTCCCTCCTCGTCCAGCAGCAGCAGCAGCCGCAGCAGCGGCTCCTCCCCCCGTCGTCATGTGGTAAGTTGCTTCTCACTTCAACCTGTTGCATTTACGAGTTTATTTCTCCTCTTTGTCTAATGTACTATCAGCCCTTCCAGGATTTTGCGCGCAATTGTTGATTGATGAATCATTATTGCGGGGTAAAATGCTTGATTACGCGGGACATTTTTCCAAAAGTTTCTCTCTTGAGTTTGGAGGCGTGTGAATTTGGCATGCAGCATTAGCTGCCAGGGAGCTATGGATGATGTTACTGTGTGGTTTATAGAAGGGACAGGGGAAGGTGATCCATGGCAGACCGGTGAGCGTGACCCATGATGAGCAACAAGTGTTAGATTTACCGCAACATGTTGTGCATTCTGCTGTGGTGCGTCTCACTGTGGAGGGTGCGTCAGGAGCGCACCCGCTGCTGCTTTGGAACAGGGGGAGAGAGACTCTCTCCCTGTTGCTCTGATCCCGGAGTCTGCGTGATTTTGCGTTCAAACATTGAGAGATTCTGGAGGGAATGACTATAGCAATCACTGGCTTATACTATAGTAAAAATAAACAAAGTAGTGTTTTTAGCGAGTATTGAAGAGTTTTTTTTTTTTCTCAATGTCATAGCTGCTGAAGCCAAAACAATTGTTATAATGTGAAAATGTATGGTGATTTTATAATTTCCTTTGTGTTGTAGATTGTTGACCCCAGGACCCCAAAATGCTGCAGCAGAGCTTGATTTGGATCAGCAGCTGACTTCTGCAGCTCTTCATAACTGATGAACTTATGGATCCTGGATCTTGTTGTCGAACAGACAAAGCTGTATGCAGCACAATATTTCAGTGCACACACACAGCGTCTCCCATTCAGCAGAGAAAACGCATGGAAGCCAGTGACAGTCTAGCAGCTAAAAACCTTTTTTGGTTTGACATTTCTCACTGGGTTTGTAAAAAAAAAACGAATCTGGAAATGTATTGGGAGTGCAGATGAAGTAGATTCCACCCCACACTTCAGCAGAGTGTGGGGTCACCTAATTACTATTCTTTATAAACTAAAGTAAAATTGTTTCACAAAGTGTTCAGAAAGTGTTATTTTCACTGTATATTTGTGTACAAAGTGTTTTTATTGTATACAAGTTGAATATTTTATGTGTACATAAGACAATCCTTTGAGTGTATTGTGTGTACACGTTTAATTTGTTTAAAAATAATTATACATTAAAAATACAATTCAAAGTATTGTTTCCGTTTTGTGTCATAGTAAGAAACTGTCATACATTGTAAAATATCAGTAAAGACAAAAAAAAACACTTTTCTGCTTGAAAATGCGCGTTTCACAAAAAGGCTGTTTTCTCCAAATCTTGGTCAGAAAACAGCATTTTGTGTGAAAGTTACCTATGTTGCACTCCCAATTGCTAAAAAACTAAAAGGGTTAGAGAACTTACCTTTTTTTTTAATGAAAGCCAAGGGATAGAGCTTTCATTTGATATGTTTCATACTTGTGTCAACCAAGGGCTCACATTTCTATGCGGTTCGGAAAAACACTAAAAATGTCCAACATTTCTGGCAGTATGAGGGATGCTGCTTTTTAAATGGCTGGCAGTGAATGAGTTAAAAAGGAATAATTCAATATATATGAATATTTATACCTCCTTTACAATGAACTCTGGAGATGAAATTTGATCCATATGAAGATTTATGGCAACAGCAACAACAACAATACGAATGTACAATTAGAATACACATGTTTGTGTGGGGGAATATAATAACAAATAAAATAAAAACATAAAAAGATCCTCCTCCGCTTCTTCGCAGACAGCGGCAATACGCGACTGCTTACACGTGTGACTCTGTTGGTCCTGATTGGGCCTTATCTCGTACTATTCTGCTCAGACCAGCCCATGCTGATCATTCAGCCTAAGCACCTCCTTCTGAGCACCTCCCTTCACCTTCCAACAGAGAAACTCCCTCTGAGCACCTTCCTCCTCTGCACTAGTCCTTGAAGTTTACTCACCTCTTGGATGTTAAAAGCGCTCATCACGCGTGTCTGGTGGGTGCGCACAGACTTGTTTTGATACTTTTTTCTAATCTCCAGGTCTAATCTAAGGTTTCCGCTTAGGACCAGTGATGCCGCTTTGCCTCAAAGGCAAACCACTCAAAGCTGCGTTATGAACAATAAATAACACATGTTGAAGTGTTTAATGAGTTTTAGATCGTCCTATAAGCAGTTAGATATATCATAGCATTGCCAAATTTACACACAATGTGTGTTGGGGTGTCTACTTTAAAAAAAAACAAAAAGAATTTTTTTTCCTTAAATTCCGTTTTGGCACTCAGCGCATGGGGGCGCTGTACGTAAAATTACGTTTGTGGCACTCAATGAGTTAATTACGCACATCACATGGGCATAATTCCCATTTAACCCACCAGGAAATAGTGTCCTGGTTCGATCCTCGCGCACAGACCCAGCGGAGCGCGACAGAACGGTAAATGTGTGTGTAAATGTATGCTTGAATGTATTTCTGACCCGCACAAGTGTGCACCTTTGGCAAACTAGTAACGGAGGGGAGAGACGGACGAGGGAATGCATGATGCGTGTGGATATTACGTATGAATGGAACGGGGGAAAAAAAGGGTGCGCGAGTGTGGAATTTGTGTGTGCGTGCCGGTGTGTCTGTGGCGCGCGCGGCATGAAAGTCAGCCTTTAGTATAATACTATCTTCGTGCACGTATAGCTAGAGACGGACCGCTCCATCACACTGGCATAGCACCACGCCCCGGTATTTTAGAAGGACTGGTCTATGGTCTATGTGAAGTACGCAAAGGCGCTTACTAACTCAAGTGATAGTATGCATTTCTGATATTTGTCGCGCATGCCTACCACTTATGTGCACCCCTGTCTAAAACTTCTAAACCAGTAATAAAACCTCTATAACAGTTCCTGGCTCTAAAGCAGAAGTCACTCACAGGGCTCTGTCTTACATTAAGATAAAAATTGTTTTGTAGTTCAGGTTCTCTCACCAGGGGGGTAGACCAGGGCCACGTGGTCGCCCTCCTGCAGACCGCCTCGCTCCATGAGAAGCGCCGCCACTCGCTCTGCACGTTTGTGGAGCTGCAGACAGCTGAGTGAGTTGGACACCGCTCCCTGCAACAGTCACAGTGTGTCAACAGTCTTACATGTTCTCAGTTTGGCCATCTATACTATAGTCCCGTTTCCACGAGCCCTACTCTCCCCTGATCGGGAGTGTTCTCACTGGCCCTCGTTCTATACAGGCCCAGCTGCTACTAAAGTGTTTGAGAGTGTAAAGTAGTTTTGGCTGGACCTTTTATCGGCTTAATAAACTATGACAAATCTTGAGACTATGACGTCATGAAATCAGCTGGTCTCTGTAATGTTGTTACTTTGGTGATTTCTTTTGTCATGTCCCGCTTCCACGACTGACAAAGCACACTTACCCTGGAGCTGAGCAGTGTGTAGAGGACGTGGTCTGGGGTGGTCTGTGCTCGCCACTGTAAGACCTCAGACAGGAACAAGAACTGAAAAACACAGGCGAGAGGTCAGAGGGGACGTCCTATTTTAATGTAAATGTAGGTTTGTGTTCACCTGGTCGTTGTCGTCGCTGGAGCCTAAGTCCCGCCCACTGGCCTGAGCAATTCTCTTCCCAGACACCAGGTTCCCCACCATCACAGAGGCCGGCCCGATCTCTGGAACCACAGCAGAACCATGGATTACCACACGTCACCATCTTCGGAGTCCTTTCTTGAGCATTTCATGATTCAGAAAGTGAAATCAAGTAGAGAAGGCATGTGCGCACATCACAATACAACACAAAAGAAACAACAACAACAGCACAGTCTAGTGGTAGAAATGGGAAATTATAATCTGGTAAAGTAATGACAAATCCACCTGAAGGCAGCAGTAAAGAAAGTGATTTGAATGATGTAATTATGAAGCAATGCTTTTGTTCTCTGTCCTGTAAGTTATAGAGATCAGGGGTTCTGTGGCCCATCTGTGGACCACTTGGTGACGCCATGAGTTTCGATTGCCGCATAAGCGAAACTCATTACGCTAAACCCATTATTATTAAAGATCCATGCGGCAAAATTTATTTTACAGTCGTGACACTTTTCACGGCTTGTTTTGGAGTGTGACGAATCCCCTTCGAGGTGAAGCTGATATGTCTTAATATTAGGGTTGTCAAACGATTAACATTTTTAATCAAGTTAATTACAGCTTAAAAAGGGTTAGGGTTTTCTGTAAATGGTTGTTTGAATGGAAAGATAAATGACAACATAGTGTACATATGTACAGTATTAGTTTATTATAACAATAAATCCATATGAAATAGCATTAACATTATTAACATTCTGTCTTTCTGTTTAGACTCAGACCAAAACTATTGTTTGTTACAGATGAGAGACATATCAAAACAGTCTGAAATGCATAATGTCATTAAATCTGTCATGAACTGGTAGTGGAAGGGAAAATTAGGTACCCCAGCTTTAATTTAGCAAGTGCGGAGGAGAAATGAAACTCCATAGTCCAGCTTCTGCGCTGTATTTTTTGTGTGCACCAGTTACGCAAAGACACGCACATTACAATCAGAGAATAGTTCTGTGCGTGGCCTTGGATATGATCATGTTACGCGGCGCCGTTCGCCATGACCACAGCTGCTGGAGGTGGGAACTGCTGTCCAGAGCGCCCGCAGCTCAGCTCGCAGAGTTCATACAGGAAACGCGTGTATTCTTTTAAAACTTGAATTCCCAGAGAGCCTACCTGCTCTCACACACACGTGTCCGTGGCATTCTGAGTGTTATTATGGAATGCATGGGCTTTTTTTTTTAACACGATTAATGAAAAAAAAAAAAAATTACGTGCGTTATTGCAATAATTTTGACAGCCCTACTTAATATATCTTTTAATTTCGCCAGAGCTTTAGCCAATCAGCACCGGGTTAACCTCAAGTCCCATTGTGATTCTTAACATATTGCGATATAGCAAGTACTGCAATTAGACTCTGATGTATTGCAATTCATGTCTAGCCTGACTCTCGCCAGACCCTTGTAGTTCCTTGTGGAAATTTCCATGTTGATGGTTCCGTGTGGATGGTTCCGTGTTGATGGTTCCGTGTTGATGGTTCCGTGTTGATGGTTCCGTGTTGATGTTTCCGTGTGGATGTTTCCGCGTGGATGTTTCCGTGTGGATGGTTCCATGTTGATGGTTCCGTGTTGATGTTTCCGTGTTGATGGTTCCGTTTTGATGTTTCCGTGTGGATGTTTCCGTGTGGATGTTTCCGTGTTGATGTTTCCGTGTTGATGGTTCCATGTTGCTAGTTCCATATTGATGTTTCCATGTTGATGGTTCCGTGTTGATGATTCCTTGTTGCTAGTTCCATATTGATGGTTCCATGTTGCTAATTCCATGTTGATGTTTCCATGTTGATGATTCCATGTTGCTAGTTCCATGTTGATGGTTTCATGTTGTTACACTGCCTTGCAAAAGTCTTCACCCCCTTGGCTTTTTACCTATTTTGTTACATTACAGCCTTTAGTTCATTTTTTTAAAATCTGAATTTCATGTGATGGAACAGAAAATAGCCTAAGTTGGAGAAAGTGAATTGAGAAAAATGAATACATAAAACAATTTTTCAGAAATAAAAAACTGGAAATTGGCATGTGCATATGTATTAATATTATATATTTATATGTATTAAGCAAGAGGCTCCACTAACAAAACACTGCCATGAAGACCAGGGAACTCTCCAAACAAGTAAGGGACAGTGTTGTTGACAAGTACAAGTCAGGTAACCTTGCCTGCAAGCTGAATTCTCGCGGTATTTGTGAGTTCACAAACACTCGAGAATACATCTTGTACCGTTCCCGCTTACACTTTTCGAGTCGAACCACTGGGTGTGCGAGCCAATCACGCGCCAGTCTGGGGGTTTAGGGCGGGATATCCGGGTTTGACGAAAGCAAGAAGTGCCGGGCCGAAGCAAAACAAACATGGCTACGCAGGAGGACGGACGCGTAGCTGAGGCTATCAAGTCAGTTTTAGCAGAATCTCCAATTTCTTTTTTGAAAGATGAACAGCGAGAGGCGCTTTGTGCATTTCTGGACGGCAAAGATGTTTGTGCATTTTTACCTACGTAAGTCAAACCTTGGTAGGCGGGCACACAGCGTCACTTCGCCCAATCAGCTTCAAGTATTCTGCTGCTTATCCCTCCTTTCCCCGAAAGGATTCTCCGTGAGAAATCCCAGATTGATATCGCGGAGAACGCGTTAGAGTTCTACACAATCATCAATCTGGCTCTTGCCAGGTTACAAGTCAGGGTTAGGTTATGAAAAAATATCCAAATCTTTGATGATCCCCAGGAGCACCATCAAATCTATCATAACCAAATGGAAAGAACATGGCACAACAGCAAACCTGCCAAGAGACTGCCGCCCACCAAAACTCACGGACCGGGCAAGGAGGGCATAATCAGAGAGGCAGCACAGAGACCTAAGGTAACCTTGGAGGAGCTGCAGAGTTCCACAGCAGAGACTGGAGTATCTGTACATTGGACGACAATAAGCCGAACGCTCTATAGAGTTGGGCTTTATGGCAGAGTGGCCAGAAGAAAGCCATTACTTTCAGCAAAAAACAAAATGGCACGTTTTGAGTTTGCGAAAAGGCATGTGGGAGACTCCCAAAATGTATGGAGGAATGTGCTCTGGTCTGATGAGACTAAAATGGAACTTTTTGGCCATCAAGGAAAACGCTATGTCTGGCGCAAACCCAACATATCACATCACCCAAAGAACACCATCCCCACAGTGAAACATGGTGGAGGCAGCATCATGCTGTGGGGATGTTTTTCAGCAGCCAGGACTGAGAAACTGGTCAGAGTTGAGGGAAAGATGGATGGTGCTAAATACAGGGATATTCTTGAGCAAAACCTGTACCACTCTGTGCGTGATTTGAGGCTAGGACGGAGGTTCACCTTCCAGCAGGGCAATGACCCCAAACACACTGCTAAAGCAGCACTTCAGTGGTTTAAGGGGAAACATGTAAATGTGTTGGAATGGCCTAGTCAAACCCCAGACCTCAATCTAATAGAAAATCTGTGGTCAAACTTAAAGATTGCTGTTCACAAGCGCAAACCATCCAACTTGAAGGAGCTGGAGCAGTTTTGCAAGGAGGAATGGGCAAACATTCCAGTGGTAAGATTAACTCATTGACTGCCAGCCCATTTCAGAACAGGTACTCCCATATTGCCAGCCGTTTCTGATGTATTCTTACTGATTTCTCAAGACCCACAGAATTTTGTGTACTATGACTATCTGAAATCCAAAACCGGATTCTGAAAGAATGGAATGTTTCATTCCCCTGTAATCCTCAGTTGAGTAGAGGGAAGTTTTAATGAAACACCAAAAAGCTGAGAAAAAAGAGGCACAATAAGTGCATCTAGCTGTTTTCAAACCATTCAGAGAGCAATGCTGCCACCTGCTGGCTAGATAAAATATGGTCTAAAGCTACTCCCCGTACATAGTAGATACAATAGACATCTGGGAACGTGAAAATAGCGGGAAACGCAATTAACGTATTAATGCGTCACAACGTTACTATTTGCTTTGAAGTATTTGTGCGTCAATGGCACACAATGAGTTAAGATTGTGCGAGAGCCGGGGAGAGGGGAGCGAGAGCGAGGCAGCTCCAGGCGGGCAGAGGAGAGCAGAGGCGGGGAGAGGCAAGGTAAGGCAAGTTTATTTATATAGCACAATTCATACACAAGGCAATTCAAAGTGCTGAACAAAACAAGCATTAAAATCATAAATAATCACAGAACATTAAAAAGAAAGCTAAAAGTATAAAATCCCTCAGTTGTATGCACAGCTAAACAGAACTGTCTTTGTGGCGCATTTAGCGGAATGAATGCTCGTACTGATGCATGTGCCATATTTTCCTTTAATTTCCTTCGCACAAGATCACCGTAAGAGCTAAAACCATGAATACATCAAATCAGTAAGGCATACAAAAATCACTAAAAAATCTCATTTAAATACACACCTTTTATCCCCCTTTCAGCAATGCGCTAAACAGACAGTTCAGACAGGACCATCCCGAGTCCACACACCATGTCAACCTTTAGTACAATACGGAAGCACCCAAGTTGCCCCGACGAATTTCAAAATAAAACCAAAAAGGGGCGTTCCCTACACTCCCCACCAATCACGAGTAATTCAATGAGGGATTATAATAATCTGGATAAGCGTATGTTGGTTTTATCAATCATTATTTTAGTTCACATTTGCTTCCACAAGCACCACCAGTTTCTGTACAGGCCGCACAATCTCTGATGTCCTTGTGTGGCGTTCTCCACCGCGAGTAGGTCTTCGATCTCCAAGCATCAGCTTTACCTTTCTAACTAAGCCGTCCTTACTCGTTATAGTTTCCAAAACTCTTCCTAACTTCCATTCATTTCGTAGCACCTCATCATCCTTCAAAATGACAATATCTCCAACCTGGATATTTCTTTGTGGTTTATGCCACCGTTGCCTTACAGATATGTTGGCAAGATATTCCTTCCGCCACCGACTCCAAAACTGCTCTGACAAATATTGAACTTGTCGCCACTGTTTTCTACTGTACAGGTCTTCACGTACAAAATGACCTGGGGGAGGCAGGGCCCTCGTCGTCTTTGTAGTAAGTAGATGGTTAGGTG